TAAAGAAAAGGTAGGGTTTGGAGCATTTTGAACCCACTTTTCTCCGTTCCACTTTTTGGTATAAATTCCATTTTAGTCAATCTATCGTTTGATAATGGCAAAACAGGGAAGGCTCGTTCTTCCCTTGTACAGAGAGAAATTTAATAAGAAATGCGGCTACGGAACTTTTTTGTCACTTTACGAATGTCTTTTATAAAAAATGTTGACATTTTGTAGAAGACACAGAAGGCCAAAAAGTTGACCAATTTCGCAGAAGAGAAAATTTATAGAAATAAATGACTTTACAAAAAAACGTTCCATAGCCACACCCTCCGGCATTTTCTGCTTCATATCTACCAAATAAAAATCTGGAATATGGTGATAGTTTTCTCACGATAGATTAACTAAACAATGTAGGCGTGTTGCTGATAAAATCCCAGGCGAAAATTTTCAACTGGGACCAATTGGTCCCAGTTGCAACTGGTTTATGGAACAATTCTCAGTTGAAACTGGTCCCAGTTCGAGTTGGTCCCAGATAGAATTGGTCCTAGTTACAACTGGTCCCAGTTGGAGTTGGTCCCAGTTACCGCTGGTACCAACTCCAGCAACAATGAAACACGGCACAAAATGGAAGGTTGACAAGACTTTATTGTCAAAAACTTGGAAAATGAAACTAAATAATAGGTTTGTTGACGTAGTACACACTCCGGGTTTAGCCACTGGCTTGCGACGATTGAATCGCTTTTTCAGAGGTAGTATTCTTGAGATGAAGGAAGATCGGCCGCTGGCGTGTTAGTGAAGACGTCCTCGACTTCTCTCCCCATCGCGTGAAGAAAGGTGCTCACCCCTGATCCCGCGTTGTGCAGGTGAAGTCCTGATAGGATGCGGTAGCGCTCCCACCTTGCAATCTCTGTCACAACAGTCGAACATTTTCGAGCTAGACCTAGCGCCATTTTCTTCCGCCCGGTCGATGTGCGTCCGGTCTTTCCTGGGTGCCCTCCGATCGCTGAACTGAATCTTTCCGTCCTCGAAGTTCACCGCCGCCACCATGGTGTGTTTACAGTTAGGTCCAAAGAAGCGCAGCTGTAGTTTTGATATTTTCATAACGACGCCAACTTGGGCCACTTGGGCGATAGCGACCCTTCTCTACCGCGTCCGTCCGACTCTGGCGTCCGCATAGGCAGCGCCATCTGGCGACAGCGCGAAAGACTATTCCGCACCCACGTGCCACGGCGGCCGGCTAGCTCTGATTGGCCAAAATATAATTTTATTTATTAAAAGAAAAAAGAAAACAAAATATTGTAGGTGTTTAAATAAATGTTTTAATATATTTTAATAATGCACTAAATGGTCATTTAGGTGAACACATTTTGTCACTAATTATATTTTCCAATTAAAAAATTATTTAGTTAATTAACATGTTTATATAATTTTTATAAATATATAAATTTACCCAGTAATTAAAGATTTCCCTATTTGTATAAATCTAAAAATTTAAGTGTTTTTAGTTTTCTTCATTAGCACCCCGCAGGGGGCACCTGTGAAAGCAGCTGCACGCAGGGGGCTGATGTATGCAGATGATATAGTGCTAATGGCCGACAACAAAGAAGATTTGCAGAAATTAATGGATATCTGTGGTACAGAGGGAGATAAACTAGGTCTTAAATTTAGTCAAGAAAAATCGGTAGTGATGATTTTTAATGATAAAGATGGTGGCGAGCATAGGATACAAGAGGTCATGTTGGAGGTAGTGGATAAGTACAGGTATCTTGGGGTATGGATAAATAATGGTGTTGAGTATCTAACGGAGCATGAAAAACATGTAGCGATGAAAGGTAGCAGGAATGCAGCCGTCATGAAACATAGGGCTCTGTGGAATTACAGTAGGTATGAAGTGGTGAGGGGGATTTGGAAAGGGGTCATGGTTCCCGGCCTGACCTTCGGCAATGTGGTCCTGTGCATGAGACCAGATATTCAAGCAAAGTTAGAAATTAAACAGCGGGCCGTAGGTAGGCTTGCTTTGGGAGCTCATGGAAATACGCCGAATCAGGAGGTACAAGGCGACATGGGATGGACGTCATTCGAGGGCAGGGAAGCTAGCAGCAAGATAGAATTTGAGGAGCGTTTGAGGGAAATGGAGGAAGAGCAGTGGGCTAGGAAAGTTTTCAGTTATTTGTACATGAGGAATGTAGATACCAAATGGAGAAAGCGAACTAGAAAATTATCAAGCAAATATTTGGGCGGCAGTGGGGGCGCCAACCAGGAATTACGGGTTAAGAAAAGGATAAAAGAAACAGAGAAGGGTCTGTGGGAAACGGGTATGCAGACAAAACCAGCACTGGAGACGTACAGAATGTTCAAACAGGAAATTTGCAAAGAAAATATCTACGATAATTCTAGGGGAAGCTCTTTGTTGTTTGAGGCCAGGACAGGAGTATTGCGGACTAAGACGTACCGGGTTAAGTACCAGGAGATGGACACTTTATGTAGTGTGTGTGGGGAGCAGGAGGAAACGGCTGAACACTTAATACTTTTCTGTAAAGGGCTTCACCCAACAGTTAACAGTGACCGGGCGGATTTAATCAAAGCATTGGGTTTTAAAGACAGTGAAGGAAAAATAGACTTTACACGGGTAGAAATAACCAAGCGGAGGTTATCAGACTGGTGGCTAAAATCGAGGCAGGGGTGAGATTTAATCTTGGAATTCAAAACATATAATTAGATTTATAATGTTGGCTAGGTGGTGCAAGCCACCGCCCGATTCACAGGGTTGAGCCAGATCCATCCATCCATCGTTTGGAGAGTGGCGTCTCCACGGACCCCGAGCCCCGCAGGGGGCGCCTGCACCTTAGGTGCTTGGTGAGTAGCATCACCACGGACCCCAGCCACGTGGGCCACTATACCTGCACGCAGGGGGCACCTACTTTAGTAGGTGCTGGTGAGTGGCGTCACTACGAACCCCGAGCCATGTGGGTTCGCCCACCCATGTCTGGCTGTGCGTGGCGTACCCGTGTCCGGGGAAAAGGGGACCCTGGTGGTTGAGCTGAGCCCGGGGTATGTTTGGACCCTTCGGGGCCCCCCGGGTGAGGCAATACACCGCTTCGACCCCTGCTTCTCGTAGACGGGTGTCCTGGCTTGGCCCGACCAGGATGATTCAGTCAGTCGCCTTTTCTACACTCTTCCTTTTTTCACTTCTCCTTCCACCTCTTTCTCTTTTCTTCTGCACTCTCTTCCTTCCTTTTTCACCTTCTTAGGCGGCAAGGGCTAACCTTGAGTGGAAACAGGTCCTGTCCCTGCAACCACACTAGGGTATAGTGCCCGGGCAGCACTGGTACAGTAATTCTGTCAGCCAAGCCTTTCTTGTTATGGCACATTACCTACCCCCTCGTTGGGCTCCGTGGTGGACGGTGGACCCGGGCACTGAAATTCCTTCCCATCTTTATGGGTTCCAAAACTAAACCAACTGATCGGGCCCTGAAAAGGACCAGCACCGAAGTCATTGACATTTCCACTAAGACCCCTGATCTTTTCAAATTTCCTAAGTTTCTTGTTCTGCACTCTGAGGACGAAAAGCCACTGGCTAAACTTTCTCCTTTTTTAGTTTCCAAAGCGCCTGAAGGTGTTATCGGTGCAAACTTTAGCGCCAAAAAGATGGCATCAGGCGACCTCCTTGTGGAGGTAAATACAAAAAAAACAAAGTGACTCACATATAGCCCTGAACGCTGTCTCAGACTACAAGGTCAGTGTGACCCCTCATCGAAAGTTCAACATTGTCCAAGGGGTCATCTCTGAAGATAACTTGCTCGATTTGACAGATACAGAGCTAGTTGAGGGTCTCTCAGGACAGGGAGTGGTTGCAGCACGACGCATCACCATCATCATCACCATCACAGTTGACACAATTCGGTTCACTCTCGCAACTGTCAGCAACATGCTCCTTACTGGAGCACTTCGCGCAAGTGTCACTTCCCCGGCAGCTCCGTGACCCATGGCCGAACCTTTGGCACTTAAAGCACCGCTGGGGATTCGGCACATAGGGGCGAACACGGCACCGAAGGTAGCCTGCCTTTATGGCCTCTGGGAGAGTGGTGGTGTCGAAGGTCAGTATAATGTGTCTCGTTTTACGTTCTACACCCTCACGACGAAGGGTGATGCGACGAGCGGCAACAACTCCTTGGTCTGAAAGGCCTTCAACAAGTTCTTCCTCAGACGAGTCCATTAGGTCGTCCTCCGAGATAACTCCTTGAACTGTATTAAGTCTGCGGTGTGGAGTAACGTTTACTTTGTATTCAGACACAGCAAGCAGGGGCCGAAGTGGTGTATTGCCTCACCCGGGGGGCCCCGAAGGGTCCAAACCTACCCCGGGTTCGGCTCAACCACCAGGATGCCCTTTTCCCTGGACACGGGAAAGCCACACACAGCCATACGTGGGCGGGCGAACCCGCATGGCTCGGGGTCGGTGGAGACGCCACTCTCCAAACACCTGCTTTCACGGGTACCCCCTGCGGGGTCAACAAGCCCTTACAGATAGACTCGAAAACATGGTGCAACGGCGCAGCACTTTAGCGCGGGACCAACTGAGTCACATAGACAACCGGGCCCCCAGTCTGAGTCCCCTATGGGACAGTCCGGTTATTCAAATGAGACAACAGGCAATACCGTTTCGAGAACAAGGGGCCCTTCAAATTCGTATTGCCAATCAGCACCAACAGTGCAAACAAGATCAGATGGTCATCTACACAGACACCAGTTTTAACCCTTTGCGGTCATGTGTCGGGTCACGCCCGATATCGAAGAAACGCGCTTCCAATCCGGTGTCGGGCGTCGCCCAACACGCATTCCCGCGCCCTTTTAAACGTGCTCCTTCGCTCATTTTTGCTGGATGGTGGCGCCATCTCTTGGAACATTTATACACTTCACTTTTGGAAGGGTTTGAGTTTTTTCTAATAGAGGGCAGAACTAATCCTAAACAGTCTAAACAACGGAGGAGCGCGCAAATTTCAACTTCACTGCAACGAGGGATGACCACGTTCCAGCCACGCTCATTTTATGGTAACTCTTCGCGTGATGCAGTGGAAAGTGACGACAATTTCAGTGAAGAGGACAACTATATCCCTCCGTCAGATGATGAAGAGACGTCCTCTGCTGATTTGAGCGAAAGTGGTGATGAAGATGAAACGAGTGCTCAAGACAACCGCGGAGCCGCTCAGCCACAAGCATTGTCCTGGAGTTTGTACACAAACAATCTCCCGGACTTTCCTGTGCTTACCTTCAGTGCGAGTAATCCCGGATCACAAATTGGGCCCTCAAATCTTCAATCTGAACTCCAGTTTTTTCAATTATTTTTCACGGATCAACTGATTGGAGAAATCGTTCACGAAACAAACCGGTATGCGTGCGAGAAGATTTCGTCTGCGGAACCTCTTGCAAAACATTCCATTTGGAAAAGCTGGGAGGACGTCGCTGTCGATGAGTTCAAAGCATTTCTCGCAGTCCTTATGAACATGGTTCTGAATCCCAAGCCAGACATCAAAGAGTACTTCAGCAAAGAAATTCTGGAGATGCCTTTTTTTCGACTGGTGTTCACCCGAACAAGATTTCTGCAAATTTTCTGGATGCTGCACGTTTCTCCTCCTCCGCAAGGTCCATCAGGACAGCCGACACGTGGCAGCAAGGTGAGAAACGTTGTCAGCTACACTGATCCAAAGTGCAGAGAGCATTTCAAGCCCGGTCCGAAGATTTGCGTAGATGAGAGCACCGTGGGCTTCAAGGGGCGAGTCTCCTTCAAGTGTTACAACCCACAAAAGCCGACAAAGTGGGGCCTTCGGGTGTACATACTCGCGGACTGCGCAATTGGGTATGTTTCTGCATTCGAGCCATACTACGGCAGCACTACTACGGAGAGCCTCCCTCGGCCAGACCTTCCTTTCACTTGCCGAATCGTCCTTCACCTTCTCGACAAAGTGCAGTGCGCTTCGCCTGGAAGGGGGTACCACCTGTACACAGATAGGTTTTATACGTCGCCAACACTCGCCGATGAGTTGCTTTCGCAGGACATCAAGCTGACGGGGACTGTGATGACCAACAGAAAAAATATGCCGCAGCATCTGAAGAAAAAGATGAAGAAGGGTGACGTAGTTGCTTACCGACAAGGGAACTCGTTCATGACCCTTGCTTGGCAAGATAAGCGCCAAGTAACTATGCTGAGCTCAGCTCACAACCCCTCGATGAAGGCTGTGACGAGAACTCAAGCTCATGGTCAAACTGTGACGCTCCAGAAGCCCGTCGTCATTTGCGACTATACTGAAAACATGGGGGCAGTGGACCGAGCCGACCATTACTGAGCAAGCTATGCCTTCTCTCGGAAATCTCTCAAGTGGTGGAGGAAACTTTTTCTGGATGCTTGAGGTTTCCATTGTCAACAGCTATCTACTGATGAAAATGCAGATGGACGCAAAGGGACTGAAAGGGCAGAAACACCTGCAGTACCGTCGCAAGCTCATTGAGCAGCTTGTCGGGGACCTCCGAGTGCGGCCTAAGGAAAGAGGTCCGGCATCCCAATCCGGCTGTGAAGAGCGGCTAGATGGAAGGCAGCACTTTATCTACAAGCTGCCAGAACGCAGCAGCAAGGACTGCGCAGTGTGCAGTGACCAAAAAACTAAAGGGGGCAGGAGAGAGACAGTTTTCTTCTGCAACACCTGCAGCAAGCATCCCGGCCTCCACCCTGGAGAATGCTTCGAGAAGTACCATACACTGACGAAGTTCCGCTAGAAAACGCGAGAAAGTAGGAGCTCTGCAAAAATAAATATTTCATGTTACCTTTGTACGCCGAAATAATTTTATGTTTCCGTGGCCCGTGCATTCAAAATAGTTTCTGACCGGAACAACCATTAAGTTGGTCAGAGTATCTGACCGCAAAGGGTTAATGACGGCAAGGGGGGCATGGCCTGGTACTGCCCCACACGACCGGAACTAAATGGCGCCCATAGCTGTCACCTCCTCTATGGGGACGCCCGGCAGGCTGAACTCCTGGCAATATGGGGAGCCCTTTCCTCAATCCCCGGCCCCCTACTGCAACACGACTTCATAAGAATACTCACGAACGCCAAGGAAGCGCTCGAAGATATTGATATTAACACGGATGACGCCACGACACAGGCCATAAGGAAACGAGTGCACGACTTGCAAGAAGTGGGCCTTGACCTACGCATTCAGTGGACACCAGTACACACCCGACTGACAGGAGGGAACGCAGTGGCACATAACACAGCCACGGCAGCTCGAGGGAGTATTGACTCAGTCGCCCCTTACCCTACTCTCAAACCGCCACTTAATCCCTACGCATGGATCAGACTCATCGAGAACGTCATATGGATGGTACCTCTTTTTTTATCAGAGCCAAACGCCGCAGGGAACGTAAACAATTCCTTACAACAATAAAGCGCCGTTTACACATATGCAACCGAGAGAGACCGCAGACCGGTTTTTAAGCCTCTTGAGACGTCTTAGGATCGGATGCGCTGCAGCGGAGCTGGTTCTAAGACGTCGTAAGAGGCTTAAAAACCGGTCTTGTCTTTCTCGGTCGTACTCGGTTGCAAGAGTGTGAACGGGCCCCAACACCTCCGCCCCAAGTCGATCTGCAACTACGACTCTCGCACGCCCAAGAAGTATTCTTAAACAAAGTATTTGCAGACGCAGCCTTCACACCGCGTATCATCAGGAAATGGTACCCCCCAGCCGCGGACACACCAGTTTGCTGCAGTCACTGCGGATCAAAGTGCAGAGCTAATCTCTTGCACCTTATCTGGGACTGCCCCCCGCTTCTCCACCGGCAGGACAGATATTCAGGATATACCAGATGCCAATCATGACACATTATTTGCACACCTCCGAACATACCCCCCTAGCCAAAACACGCTAGTCCAATACCTAGTTGAAAATTCCCATTAGATTCCAACTGGAAATTTTTTTCCAATTGGTGAGACCCATTGGCCAGTGTGCTTCCAATTGGAACCCACTAAAACCAATTGGTTCCAATTGAAACCAGTTAGAATTTCAATTGGATCTAATGGGAATTTTCAGCTGGGCATGGTAGTAAGAGTGGCTTTGCGAGAGAAGTGCGAGGTGACTCCCAGTACTTAACCAGCAGATTCTCATACCGGCAGCAAGATCGAGAAACAGAACGACCACCAAGATGCCTTCTGCACGCCAGAGATTGTCAAGCGTGCACAACTCCTCGCGGATACCTTCTATCCCCCTCCTCAAACCCTGATCCCCACACCACGGCTTTAGCCATGGTGTTAACAAGTTTCATTTCTAGTACAGCCGGCCCTTTTAAGCATCACCCCTTGAGCCCTGATGTTTTGGTCATCTCAATAGCCATCTGCGTATGTCAAGCCAGGAGTTTTGGGTATTGTCTACGAGTACACGTGTTGCCTCCGCAGGTCAAGGCCCTATTCGAAGGCTTTACACCATCCGTAGGACATGGAAAAAGAGGAGAAAGTTTAGCCATCCCCTTCCCATGTGGTCCAATAAATAAATTAATAGGAATTTTCAATTTTTGTATAGAATTCCCCTTCCTGACCAACGTCTTCAAATTAACGAATGCCAGCTCCGATTCAACTGCTTATGTTTTACTCATTGTGTTCGTGTGGGGGCCCGAACAGCAGGGTTTAACCAGTCCCGGTGTCAGAGGGGTCCGACTCTTCATATTCCATGCCGTGGTCCGGTTCGTTTGTAGCAAGAGCCAAGCTCTTTCGGCTGCCCTTTTTTGTTGCTTCATGTCCACTATTAGCAGCAGCACCAAACTGTGTGAGCTCTCCCCTCTGATATGATTCAGGGTTCATTCTACGTCCTTGAGGCTACATCATGTGAGGCAGCGGGAATTAAGAAAACGGAAACTCTGGAATTTTTCAAGTTCCCACATAATGAATCTAAAAAAAAACAAAACGGGCAGACAAACTCCTGTGAGACAGCACGGCATTGACATCACCCAAACGTCACATGCAGTGTAGCACATTGATAAGGATGACTACGGAATTACATTGCTCCACATACATTTATTGCAAAAAAAACCCAGACATTTTCAGTATTTTGCAAGGTAACTTGAGTTAAGGGGTGTCCTGTTTGGACACCCCTTCAGTCAGGGGCCAGCAGCACAGAAACGAAGGGAAGCCACCGGCAGTGCCAGCAGAGCTTGTCTTGGGAGACTCTGGAGGGTCCAGCATGCCCACCGTACTCATCTGATCAAGCTATTAAGCTAGCACTCAGGTGCGACGCACCCATTTGGTTCTCAGTGGCATGATGTCCAACAGAAACAACCACAAAGCACAAATGATGTTAACCTCACGACTTTTATTTAACTTGCACAGTCAAAGGCGAGCAGCACATGAATGAAAGAGGAGCCATCGGCTTCTCTTTCATTCATGGGAAACAAAACGTTTTATTAAATAGTTTGTCTTGTTATGTAAAGTCGGCGCAGTTTCTTTCATCATCGGCTCTTGACGGTCGCTTGGTTTCACCGGCCATAACCTCCATGAACAAAGCAATGTTAGATACTAGCTGCGCTTTGGAACTTATTACTTCACGATGCCAGCGTGCGTCATGCACTGCAGAAGAGGTTGCCTGGCTCACCGCCATATTGAAAAACTTCCATTGTAAAACCATGATTTCAGTAATGTCACGGAAAGTAAAAGAAGCGATTGACTGGCAGAGTGATATATATCCCTTTAGGGGCATTTTCCCCTGCATTCTTAGCCTGTAACTCGTGGTATAGATGCCTGAACACTATGACAAGCAGCCTATGCTGCCAAACAGAATTAATGTGGTTCCAATATGTTGCACCATTTCCCCGTCGATCCAGAACCACAGAGTCCGTGTCTGTTAAATATAACAAACAAGACGTAGTGTCAAAAAGGCTCATCTGCTCACAGTACTCTTGTGCAGCTGGATCTTCCCAGCCAATGCTTAGGCTGGGGCAGCAGCCAAAGTGCAAGTACAATGCAGCTTATGCCTTAAACAAAGCCATTTCATGTCACCTGTACCTCTGGTTTAATCGATACATGTCTCTTCGGGGAATAATTGGCATGCAACACAAGGTGTCGAGAGAGTGCACTGCCCATATTGAAGCATCAAGAATGCACAGTCCGATCATCGCTGGAGCTTCTCTCTCACATTGTTTCTTTAATTAGCATCAGTGCATTAGTGTGAATGGTTGAATGCTTGGATAATTTATAGTGGATGGAAAAGCGAACACATCATCGATGAGCCGCTTGAGCTGATATACTCCAGCTCTCAGTAGCTATTGTTTTATGCTCTCTGAAAAAAGTAAGGTGCAGTGAACGCCACGGTTTCAGTAATATTTTATTATGATAAAGAAATTTAATGTGACCAAATCTTGAGTTTCTGGCAGACACTCTTCTCCAAGTAATAGAAGTCAAAGAGGAACTAGGAGCTATGTAGATCAGTTAAAAAAAAGGTGAAGCTGCTAGAAGACACAGCACACCTTCTTTTGTTGTGAAATGTGTGCACCCTTTGTTTCTGTTTTGTTTTTCTCCTTTTCAGCGTAAGTTGTTTGTTGGTGTTTTATGGCGCAAGGGCAACACGAGGGCCAAATAGCGCCAAGATCCTGTTTAGCTGATTTAATATGTAGTATCCCAAGCAAAAATCAGTCCACTTCCGGCTGGATTATGGAACTGGAAATGAGGAGGTCCAGCTGGATTCCAGCTGGACACAGCTGAAATTCAGCTGGACCGCCTCATTTCCAGTTCCATAATCCAGCTGGAAGTGGACCGATTTTCACCTGGGATGTTAGTGCTTATGGATAAAACTAATGTGCTATGTTTAGCTAATATACAAATGGGTAATAAGGCCTATAGAAAGTAAAGGGCTCCAAAAATTCATGTATACTAGAGAAGTGACTTGAGGCCACTTTTTTGAAGGAACGTGAATAAGTCTTTGAGTGGAATCTGAGGTTCAGGACCTAACATCAAACACGGATGAAATGGAATGTTTAATCTTCTTAGTGGTGCTAAAAGTGGTTTAAGGAAAGGTTCCAGCTTCCTGCAAACAAACAGATGCATTACTGTAAGGTCTGAGTCACATATTTCGCAGGTAGGAGGTTCATTGCCCATTAAGAGGTGTGAGTGTGTTAAGCGTGTATGTCCAATGCGCAGTCGTGTTAACAATACACTGTCATGACGCGAGAGGTGACGATGGTCCTGAAATTTATCTGTAGTAGGGTGAAGGGTATGAAGCTTGTTACCTTCACATTTCTTCCATTGTTGCAACCATTTTGTTGCGACGCTCTTGGACATCTCACGACGAATGTCACTTAAAGGGGCAGTCAAGTGGTTTTTGAGTTCGTGTTTTGATAATGACAGCTGAATTTAGACGCCTTAAGTATCCCTAAAAACCAAAAAGTATAGTCATACGGTGATTACTTTTTTAATAAAAATGTAATTGAAGGCCGCCAAACCTCGGATCCATCCGAAAACGAAACCACTCTCATTGGTCGTCGCACGCTTATCAAAAGGATCTCGGGCCAATGGCGTTGGACGACGTTCCGTCGCGCAGTGATCCCGAGGTAGCCGCATCGGCCGAACCTCTTTGTCATTCGAGCTTCGATCATGGCGGAGTTCTCTACGCTCGAGGACCTGACACCGTTAGAGGTTGAAGTTCTTCGGCGGACAGCCGACCTGGGGATGATTTCTATGACGCCACTCCGACGTGCGATGTGGACGATAGCAGCGCTTCGGAGTCATGTTCGGGTTCCGAGGACGACGAAACGCAGACCTTTTCGGGCGTTCTTCGATTTGCGGTTGGGACAAGTCGTAACCAAACCAACGTTTGACATCGCAGCGTTACCTCTGGTACGTGATGTCAAACGATGTCGCCACGTTGACTTTTGCCTCGGGAGAACGGGGGGAAGGCTGGTTCAGACATGTGCAACGAGCGCGTACCTACGATTGCGTCCGTTGCAACCGGAACGACCGCACTGCGCCGCGCGTACACACACCTGTAACCACTACAACAAGCGCAGCGGGTCGTCAGCACGGCGACCGCTTCTGTACGCCACCATCAGCTGTGTCAGCGGCCCCTCTAAAAAAGGGGACGCACTGCTACTCAATGCCGTAACAGAATATAGACAGACAGTTTTCTAGTCTAAAGCTTTATTATTTTTTCTTGATAGGCTTGCAGGGTACAGCGAATGAAAAAAATAAAATAAAAAGATGCAGCGCCGTCTTGGACGATCACGACTCTAATACACGACATAGCAATAGTACAAATATCGCCACACGCCTTTTCTACGATCATAAAAGACAATGTAATCTTAGCAGCGATATAGCAACGTAGAAATATGATTTCGTGATCAGATAGACGTTGCGAGCGTTCAGGATTGCTAACACTAATCACTTTTCTCCGGTGATGAAAAAGCGTGAAAATTCGTATCCTTTATACGGTACGCGCCAGTAATACCTTGAACTTGAGCACACGCATGAAATGCGCCAAATCAGAAATTCGGGCGATGTTCGAGGACACAAATGCTTAGGAAGCACCACTGTAGTCGAAGTAAACAAACACGACGGCACGGGCGTTTCTGCTGTCTTGAGAGTGCCGCCACGACATCGCCGCACGAGTAGGTGGATGTTCCCTTCTAGTACGTGCTGGGTTATCATAGCGAAACACGACGAAAATTCACACTCAAGGATAGCGCTTTTACGCGGAACGATGAGCTTTCACCAGGCCGTCCATTCCGACGATCAACACCGACGCCACGTTTGCGGATAAAAGGAGCCGGCCGGCCCGCGACCGGCACGACCGGCCTGCAAGGCGCGGAGATACGTGCGCTTCCGCGCATCCCTGGGGAACGGGAAATTCACCCCCCGCGGAGGAAGGCAAATAGAAAACGTAGTCCCTTGTTTGTGAAACGATAATTGCGCTATCGCGTATTTTAAACTAGAAATATTTTACGTCTTGTGAAATTATCTTGCACAACATATTTAAATGAACTGAAAATTGTTTTTTCAGCGAAACTTTAAAAAGACCGCCAAAATTTTCAAACATACGATAATTTCATTGGTCCTCGCAAGTACAGAAAAGAGTCCGCACGTATTTTATTCCTGCGTGATTAATAGGCGTTTCTGCCTTCTAAAACTGAAGATACTCATTCACTGACACTTCCTTAACACCATCGCACCAAAAAGTAGCTTCTCCAAAAACCGCTTGAGTGTCCCTTTAAGGGCAAAGGCTACTGTGTTCTGTCTTCGAACGGCCCTTGTCGGGCAGTTTTGTCGGCAAGCTCATTTCCAGTGATGCCACTATGCCCTGGAACCCAGAGGAACCGAACGTGTCCGCCTATTGACTGGATTTCTCGTAACAGCGTATGAATATCTACAATAAACGGGTGTTTCTTAGGCTTTATAGCACAGATGGACATAAGTGCACTTAAAGAGTCCGAGCATATCAGTGATTTCTTGATCCGGGACTTTCTGATGTGCTTAAGCGAAGCAATAATTGCATATAATTCAGATGTGAAGACAGATGCTATTGGAGACAACTGGAAAGCATTTCTGGTGGTCCCAGAAACAAAGGCCGCTCCAACAGCATCGCCCATTTTAGAACCATCAGTGTAAAATACCCGGTAGCCCTTGAACTCTTTAAGAATTTCTAAAAAACGCTGTTGGTACACCAGAGGCGCAGTACATGGCTTTTGGAACTTAGTTAACCGCAGATCACAGGAAATGCTTGGGTCATACCAAGGGGGGAGTGGTGGACGAAAAGTTGAAACCTTGCTTATTGAAAACCTAGTGTCCGACAAAACTTGCTGCACACGAATTCCAAATGGTTGGGCGACTGATGGGCGTCGAGCAAACAGCTCAGTGAAAGATGGGGCTAGGACATGAGTGTAGGCTGGATTGTCCTTGTACATTGAAATTCTACCTGCATAAAATAGACCTAGCAATTCTCTCCTAAGACATAGGGGCTGTTCATGGGCTGTTATGTATAGGCTCTCCACTGGTGATGTTCGAAAAGCTCCCGTGCACAAACGAATTGCCTGGTGATGAACAGGATCAAGCTGTCGAATTGTGTTTTGTCTAGCCGATCCATAAACAAAGCTACCATAATCCAGTTTTGAACGCACTGTAGCCCGGTAAATATGCAGAAGAGACTCCACGTGTCCTCCCCAGGATGTGTGTGCAAGCACTTTAAGAATATTTAGTTTTTTTAGGCAGTTTTTGCGAAGATAGGCAATATGCTCTCCAAATGTCAGTTTTCGGTCAAAAATGACTCCAAGAAATTTTTGAGAGTCCTTACAAGTAAGTTGTGTACCATTTAGTGACAGTTCGGGATTGGGGTACAGTCCACGTTTCCGCGTGAAATGTACAATGGCACTTTTTTCTGCCGAGAACTGAAATCCGTTTCGAAAACACCACTTGCCCAGTTTGTTTATGCAGAGCTGGAGTTGCCGCTCGGCAACTCGCAGAGATGAAGTCCTGATAGAAATTTTAAGGTCATCGGCATATAAAGAGTGTTCGATGGGGCGAGAAATTTCACGGGAGAGTGAATTTATCTGAACCAAAAATAATGTGACACTTAAAATGCAGCCCTGGGGAACGCCCGTTTCCTGCATAAACTCGTCAGAAAGAACAGCTCCCCGGCGCACCTGAACAGTGCGATCTGTTAAGAAGTTCTTAATGAACACCATCATGTTACCATTAAAACCCATTGACACTAGGTTGCTAAGAATACCATGCCTCCATGTTGTATCATATGCCTTAGCAAGATCGAAGAAAACTGCCACCAGATGTTCACGCCTCACAAAGGCCGAGCGAACCTCCATCTCCAGAGACACAAGATGATCGAGGGTGGAGCGGTTTTTGCGGAAACCACACTGAGCTCGTGATAGTAAGTTTTTTGCCTCTAGGCAAAAAACAAGCCTTGAATTTATCATACGTTCCAGCACCTTGCAGAGGCAGCTGGTGAGAGCTATTGGTCTGTAGTTCTGAGGATTTGTGTGATCTTTGCCTGGCTTTGGAATGGCTATAACGACTGCTTTCCTCCAGGATGTTGGGAACACCCCCGTTTCCCATATTCTGTTATAGAACTTCAGAAGAGCAAGTTTGGAATCGTGGGATAAGTTAGCAATTATTTTATAGTATATGTTGTCTAAGCCAACTGCAGAATTCCGGCAATGCAGGGTCGATAGCTCCAGCTCTCGAAAAGATAAAGGTTTGTTGTAAGGTTTCTCGCTACTGAGTTTTATTGGCAGTGGTTTTCTTTCTACTTGCGTGCAATAAGCTAGAAAAGGTTTTTGGTATGAAGACTTGCTGGATACTACTGAAAAAGTATGTCCCAGCAGATTTGCCTGGTCTATGGGAGAGCACACTTGAACTGTTCCATCTTTGAGAATAGAGAGTCGGGTATCATTATATAAGCCCTCCATCTTCCAGACTTTGTCCCAGATTTCTTTTGTTGATGTGTCCTGGGTAACCTCCGAGGTGTACTTGCACCAGGAGTTTTTCTTCTGGCTTCTGATTATGCGGCGGAGCTCAGCTTTGCTTCTTTTAAGGGCGATCAACCACTCAGAAGTGGGATACCTCTTGAACTTTCCCCAATACTTATTTTTATTTTTCTTGACTTCTGTGCATTCTGGAGACCACCAGGGTTTTGGGTATTTTGGAGACCGTGATGATGTTTTTGGAATTGAAACTGTTGCTGCGTCAATTATGACAGTTGCCAAAGCAGACGTAGCCTCATCGATATTAAGTGCGGTGAAACCATCCTCGGGAATCTGGGCCTGTTCACTGAATTTCGTCCAGTCTGCCTTCTCAATGACCCACCGAGGCACTCTTTTCGTAACACAAGGAGTAGCGCACGAGTGTTGGATGACAATGGGAAAGTGATCACTGTTATATGGATTGTGGTGAACACGCCAGGACAATTTCGTAAAAAGAGAAGCTGAACAAAATGATAAGTCTATGGCAGAGTATTTTACAGGTAAGCTTAGGGTAATATGCGTAGGAGACTTGTTATTTAAAAGATTCAGTGAATTTTTGAGCAAAAAATTCTCCACCACTTTGCCTCTAGAGTCATCCAATTGACTTCCCCATAGTCTATTGTGAGCATTAAAGTCTCCAAGAAGCAGGTAAGCGCTTGGGAGTTCATTTACAAGCTGTTCTAGCTCTGTCAACGTGATCTGTTCATTAGGTGGAAGATAAAGAGAGCATACAGTTACCGTGATACCGATGTAAATACGCGCAGCAACTGCTTCCAAGTTTGAGGTTAAAGGAATCTGCTCTGAAGGACACGATGGCTGCACAATGAGAGCCACTCCGCCACCTCTCACATCCGGAGGACGGTCTTTACGATATACTGCGCATCTGCCAAATCTGAACGAGGCCGACTCGGAAAGGAAGGTTTCGTGAAGACAGGTCACCTCTGGGTCTAGGGCCTGCATCAGATCCTTTAAATCTTCAATGTTTGAGCGTGCTCCTCTGCAGTTCCACTGCACAATATTCACTGGCATTATGCTAGGGCGGTCCTGTTATGCGAGGGCTCTGTTTCTTTTTTGGTTGCTTGTCAACTTCCATAGGGGTAGCCTGATCTGCAGGATCAGTGCAGGATTCAGCCATCCCTCCTTGTACACCAGGGGCTTCATGATGCGAGCAGGATGCACCACGATTACACTCGGATGCATCCAGAGCATTTGATTGAGGTGTACTATGTTGTTTTTCATGTAGTATGGGAAGGTTGAACACAACCTTTTGGGAGCGTCCAAATGAAGGTGACTTGTTAGATTTCACCTTCTCCTGAACCTTGGCGTTGGGAGTGGCCGATGTGCTGGCAGCGCTCCCAGAGTGATGAGAAGAGGAGGATGGGGAGCCCCGAGGTGCCTCCTCTGCACGCCGTCGGGGTTGCGAGAGACCACTGAGATGCACCGACGTGTCGGTTGTTTGCGTCATGGGAGTCTGTAAGGGTGTGTTATCCACCCTTGGTTTTGCAAGGAAAGGGGGGCTAAATGGGGCCACAATATCCTGAGCGGAGTATTGTGTACCCACAGAGGTCTTTGGCGGAGCAGCCCCCCTGGCTGCCGCCTCAGCATACGTGCCTCCTTGCAGGAAGGAGAGACGTTTACGTGCTTCCTGGTAAGTCAAGTTTTCCTTTGTCTTTAGAGTTATTATTTCTTTTTCCAGTTTGAATTTAGGGCACGAACGAGAGTATGCCGGGTGAGGTCCTCGGCAATTCAAGCAGGTGTGTGAGTCACTAGAACAGTTGTCTGTGGGGTGATCGTTGCTTGCACATTTGGCACATGTCGTTTTTCCTCTGCACGTGGTTGACCCATTGCCAAAACGTTGGCAGCGGAAGCAACGTCTAGGATTGGGGATGTAGGGCCTCCCTTTGCAGTTAAGGTAGCCAGCCTTGACTGCGGAGGGGAGACTTGTTGAGTTGAACGTTAAAACTATGTTTAGTGTCCCTTTCCTGGCCATCACGACGAAGAGTGATCCGTCGAACAGCGATGACTCCCTGATCTTTAAGACCTTCAAGGATCTCTTCGTTCGGGCTTCCAAGTAGATCATCCTCGGAGATGACGCCCTGCGTGCTATTGAGAGAGCGGTGAATGGTAACAGAAACGGCATAGTCTTGAATTTCGTTGAGGGCAAGTAATGCAGTACTCTGCTCTGCAGTATGGACCTCAACAAGGAGGTCACCAGAAAAAAGCTTCTTTGCTTTGAAATTTTTTCCAACTACCATCTCCAAAGTCTTTGCGACTAGGAAAGAAGAAAGTTTTGCCAGCGGTTTGTCCTCGTTGTCTGAGTGCATACCCAAAAATTTTGGAAAAGTTTCCGGTGCCGTGGTACGATTTTTAAGTTTGTCCTCGGTGCGGGCCCTTTTCAGAGCCCGATCAGAGTTTTTGTTTAGCTTGGAACCCATAAAGATAGGAAAGGGAGTTCAGTGCCCGGGTGCACCGCCCACCACGGAGCCCAACAAGAGGGTAGGTAATGTGCCATAGCAAGAAGGGCTTGGCTGACACAATTACTCTACCAGTGCTGCCCGGGCACTATACCCTAGTGTGGTTGCAGGGACAGGACCTGTTTCCACCCAAGGTTAGCCCTTGCCGCCAAAGAGGGGTGAAAAGGGAGTAAGAGAAATGAGAGAGAAGAAAAAGAAACAGGAAAGGTAAAAGTGAAAGATCGGAGGGGATAGTAGAAGGAAAGGCGACTAGACTGAATCATCCTGGCCGGGCCTTACCAGGACTCCCGTCTACGAGAAGCGGGGGCCAAAGTGGTGTGTTGCCTCACTCGGGGGGCCCCGAAGGGTCCAAACCTACCCCGGGTTCGGCTCAACCACTAGGATGCCCTTTTCCCCGGACACGGGCTCGCCACGCACAGCGAGACGTGGGTGGGTTTTAGCCACTTTTTACTCAGGGTCTGTGGTGTAGCCAATGTGGCTGGGGTCCGTGGTGACGCTACTCACCAAGCACCTAATGTGCAGGCGCCCCCTGCGGAACTCGGGGTCCGTGGAGACGCCACTCTCCAAACACCTGCTTTCACAGGTGCCCCCTGCGGGGTTCAGCGTAAGTGTTGGTTCATAACAACTAGTGCTCTTATTTTTCCTGGAAGGTTTCTGGAATCCCCGGCGTCATCGGATGCATCGACGGAACATACATCAATTTTCGTTGTCCAGACGAGAAGATCCCCGTAACGTATGTGAACCGGCACGAGGCCCTGTCATTAACCTTGCAAAGGGTATGTGATGACAAGCACCGGTTCATTGATGCTTTTACGGGGGTTTCCAGTCGGATCCATGACGCCAGGGTTTTCGACCTGTCAGACCTCCCCGAAAGGCTTCCCACTCTCTGTAAGAGAGCGAAGATCCACATTCTAGGGGATGCGGCATACCCCAGCAGGGAGTACCTAGTGACACCTTTTAAGGACTACGGCAAGATGACCTGTGAACAGAAAGATTTTAACAGAGACTTCTCTGCCACATGGGTGACAATAGAAAACACCTTTCAGGTACTGAAGCGCCGCTGCATGCAGCTGTCCTACCTTGAGTTTGCGGAGGTTGACACAGCTAGTAAATTTATTATGTCGTGCTGTGTGCTACATAACCTCTGCATTCAGTCAGGAGATCTCGAAATTGAAGGCGTAGAAGCAACAAGTGATCGTCTGCCAGATGACGATGACACAATTGAGGAGACTCGCCCTGTTCTACGCAGCAGAGGAATTGCGAAACGAGAGAGACTTTGTGATTATGTGAATCGGCCTTGATCGTTGCACAAAATAATGTTCTGCATTAAGTATTGTTTTACAGTCATGTCTCATTAAAGGGCAGCTCCGGTCCATACTTTCGATTTTGGGATTATGACTTTTTAGTGCAGTCAGCGTCCCTGAATTGCAAGGTGTGATTTTTTTCTCATTATTGTGCGTAGTTTTAAAAATATTGACGCCTCAAAGTTTTGTTTCGGGCGCGGCCACTGATCTCTACACTAGGGGGCTGGATGGCGCATCGAGCACGCTGGCATGAAGCCACCGGAAGCGAGCAGCCTTGTCCCGGAAGTGAGTAGCGGTCTGCTCTTCGCGCGTGGTTTCTAGGCTGCTGGCGCTTGTAGTTTCCATCCTTTCCAACCTTTTAAAGACGCCAGCATGCCAGCATGCTCTGCGGTAAACTGCACAAGTAGGCCGGAGAAGACCTCAGGCAAGACGTCTCACCTGTAAGTATGTATTTCGTTGATCTCAGTGTTACGCGGCCAAGTGGCACGCAGTTTCAGTTCTAGCTCGGGTTGATCAAAGCAAGAACCGGCGCTGCCACATAGCTCCTTCATGCAGGTTTCCGCGCTGTCAGCCGAAACTGTACCAGCAATGGGTCGTAAACTTAAAAAGGGACAAGTGGAAACCATCTCCCGGCAGCAGACTTTGCAGCGACCACTTCGATGATTCGTGCTTCGACCGAACAGGAGCCAGAACCCGGCTGCGAAGCGGCGCAGTCCCGACGCTCTTCAACTTCCCAGAACACCTCCAAAAGGTAGGACTGCCTTTTTCAGGCGGTAAACGAGCAGTAGCGTGGATACCGTTCTAGTTGTGCCGTGCATGATGTACGCGCGATTGGGAGCAAGTTCAGGTCGTCGCATCTTGCTTGGGCGAGGCAGTTCGTATTGACGTTTGTCTTGCAAAACCACGTGCGTTTTAACTTTTCCCAACGCACAGGTGAAATTCTGTTCCTCAGCAAACAACTTCAAGGCTATAATTGATGACACACTGCTAATGTGCCTGCAGATGCCTTGTGGCTAAGTGCGCATAACAGCAGGACCAGCAGGCAGCGCATGTAGGAACTGAAAAGCGAACAGGCATTTTTGGGAAAAGGAACAACAGAAATTTTGATCAAGCAATAAGTTAAATTCACTGACCCAGTGGAAGTGACATAGCAGCAATAGTTCCGCCTTGATTGATGTAATGTATAATCACAAACTTTTCCGGTAATGTCTCAGCAAGTTCTCGAAGATGATAATGTCCAATATTGCTGGCTTATTAAAAGGCATATAAATATCTGGGACTATAGATGCCACTTGTAGCATGTGCTAATAGCTAATGATTAAATATTATCTATATGCTAATATTTTTGCAATGTCTTGCATTTATGGTGAGGATTAATTTGTCTAACAGAACATGTTTATTACATGCTTATTTCAGAAAACTGCGACAAGGAAGCCATCAAAGCTGAGAACTCCGAACCTGGATGCGACACTACTTGACGGGGAAGCCAGCGGCTCGCCGAGTACACCAAAAAAGGCCTCAAATGATGTAAGCTTACTTTTGAGCAAACTGCCTCAATGCAGAGACACCGTAAGTAGTAGACAAGAAAGGCTTTCATGCTCTATAGTTTTCTTTTGCTGCAAAGAGAGATTAAGCATCAAGGAGGAGTGGGGGAAGCAGCATTTAGATACCAAATCCTTTTGCTAACACTTTAAGTGGTTGCAATGCACAGTCCAGTTATGTATTACACTTGCATAATATTAATCTATCAAATGCATTGTTTTTAGGTTGCCGAGCACAACTATGCTGTCAAGGACACTCCAAAAACCCTGAAAAGGAAGCTTGATACCTGTGCAACTGCTGCAACCAATGCCAAGAAAAAGCTCAAGCTCAGTCAGCAATGAGAACGTCGACTGAAGAGGAGAGTAGAAACATTTAGTGAAATTATCGAAGACCTAAGAAAGAAACAGCTAATTTCAGAAGATGCTAGTGCAATGCTTGAGAGATGTTTCTCAGGAGTCTCCCTAGCAGTGATGCAGCGTTTGCTCAAACAAACTCCGGTCGGAAGTGACAAGCTGGCTAAGCTAAACCGAGAGAAATACTCGCCTGCACTACGTATGTTTGCGCTCACGCTGCAGTTTTATTCAACTAAAGCGTACAACTATGTAAGAGAGACTTTTGAATGTGCCTTGCCACATCCATCAACGTTGACCAAGTGGTACAGTTCTCTAAATGGAGAACCTGGTTTTACAGGTGAAGCTATGGATGCCATCCGGGCAAAAGCCAACGAAGTGAAGCAGAAAAACAAGGAGCTTCTTTGCAACCTTGTCGTTGACGAGATGGCGATCAGAAAACACATAGAATGGGATGGAAAAAAGTGCAGGGGCTATGTTGACATTGGTAACGAGCTTGATGATGACAGCAATGATGTCGCTACTGAAGCCCTCGTTTTTATTCTTGTATCACTGGATGCACACTGGAAGATCCCCTGCGGATATTTTCTGATCAATGGACTTTCAGGAAAGGAACGCACAAACATAGTCAAACTGTGTCTGACAAAATTGCATGATGTAGGAGCATGTGTAACATCGCTGACATGTGACGGACTCCGTTGTAACTTTACAATGCTCAAGAATTTGGGGGCTTCACTTGAAGACAGATCGATTATGGTGACATCATTCCCTCACCCTGTCACAGACGGGAGGGTATACTGTTTTCTGGATGCATGTCACATGATAAAGCTGGTGCGGAATGCTCTCTCTTCACTGAAGTGGCTCAGAGATTCAACCGGCTCATTGGTAGAATGGAACTACATCCGACAACTGTATGAGCTCCAGGAGAAAGAAGGCCTGCATGCTGCAACAAAGCTCCGTGCTGCACACATTGACTGGCAGAAGCAAAAAATGAAGGTTAATCTTGCTGCCCAGACCTTGAGCTCTAGTGTTGCAGATGCCATAGAGTTCTGCCGGGAAGATCTGAAACTCCCACAATTCAAGGGATCGGAAGCAACTGTGAAATTCATCCGGCTCTTTGATCGACTCTTTGATTGCTTAAACTCGCGTAACCCCCTCGCTAAGGGATTCAAGGCTCCTCTCCGACCTGGCAGCAGAGGCACTTGGATTTCTTTTCTTGAGAAAGCCAAGGATTACATAAGAGCACTCACTGATGGTGCAGAAAGACCTATCTTCGACACACCAAGGCAAACTGCTTTTCTTGGTTTCCTGATCACCATTGAAAGCACAATCGGCCTTGCATCCTCCCTCCTTTTTGGTGAAACCCCACCACTGCGCTACCTCCTGACCTACAAGCTTTCGCAGGACCACATTGAGCTTTTCTTTGGTGCCGTTCGTTCCAAGGGAGGCTGGAACAATAACCCTACGGTGCGTCAGTTCATAGCAGCGTACAAGCGACTGGTTGTCCACAATGAGGTAAAAGGTGGCGTGGGAAACTGTGCTTTACTAGATAAAACACGGATTTTGTATGTGAGCAGTCAGTTCTGCGCTCCTGATGAACTGGACATGACTACAGCAAAGCAAAATGATACAGAAGACCTTGTGCAAAGCGTAGACCTCCCTGACGAGAGTGAAATGGAAGGTGAACTTGAAAATCTTCCTCTGCTGTCACCCTACTTGGGAGATGTTGTAGGCTACATCGCAGGGTTTGTATGCCGAATGGTTGAAAAAAAGATACCTTGCTCAGCGTGTCGCTCAGCATCTAAGGCTGAGGCGTGCTCGTCAGCACTTCTGAACAGAAAAAATTCTGGTGGCCCGACCAAGCCATCGCCTTCCACAACATACATCTGTCAGCTGGCGGAACGGGTAGTTCGACAGCAGGAGAAGGTGGATGGTGGCAGTTTTCCCAAGAAAGGGATGACTGCCGACACTCTGACAGCCAGAGTTATGAGGGAGCTTTCGGGGCAATTAAACATGCTCTATCCAGAGCTACATGAGCACATGCTCCAATCCGCAGTCGATTCAAATCATTTTGTTCGCCTCGTGAAATGTGTCATTGGATGCTACATAAAGATAAGGATGCACCATGCTGCAAAAAGAGCAACTATGAAGATCGCTGGTCCGAACATGCGTAAGCGCTTGACCAAACTGATTCTTTTTAACCACCAGTAAAAACCAAGCTGTCTGAAACTTGCTGACAAGCGTGTCAGTTTTGCACAAAATAAACAGTTTTTTTTTTTTTAAACCAGAGTTTTATTTCCTTTTACATTTAGTATGCCCCCAGGGCCAGCAACCAGGTAATGGCCTTTGATGGGGCTCTTATATGGTGTCATTTCTAGTAATAGTTTTATGGCCAGAGAATGCTAAACCTAAATCTACATTTATTTTTACAGTACTAAGGAAATCAGTTAAAATGATTGAGAAAGCTATTATACTTTATAATAATTGCAGGCTGCAGCATATGCTGCTCCCCACGCGAGGTTGCAGACTGGTTCCCTGTCTCTAAAAGCAGTTAAAGCTACTGGATACCGCGCAGACCACTTTACTGACAAAGTTGTTTTCTACGTTACGGGTGCGTGCAGCGACTTACGCCCGCGACTTGCCCGGACATTCCTACGAGTAGCTGGCACGCGGCGTACGAAGCCCAGGTATCTCGGTTGCATATCTACGCAACTGTCAGGTCCGAGCTAGCCCTTAGAGCCTTTAGGTATAGGCCCTGCTCATGAATGTAATCGTGCATGGCATTTCCTTCTAGCACATCTAAGAACATCACTTCATGGTGACTATACTTCGCGCGCGCACATTCAGTTACTGACATTACAGTTACTGACGTTACGGGTTAGCCGTAAACCCGATATAGAAGGGCGGAACCCGTATAGTCTGATGTTACAAGCTGAGGAGCGGTCAATTCTTCTCTACTCTCCGGAGGCCAAAAAAGGCTGCGCAACACTGCCCCATTACGCTACCGTATACCGTACCCTCTGTCGACAGCCAAAAAAACAGCGGTGACAATTGTTTAAAATCATGGTAGCGCTTTTAGACTAGGACGAAGAAGAGACAAGACACACACGAGCACTCGTGTGTGTCTTGTCTCTTATTCGTCTTCGTCTAAAAGCGCTACCATGATTTTGACATCCCAATACCAACTAGCCCAGCGTTCAGCTTTGACAATTGTTTCTTTGCAATTATTCAAACTTTCCTTTATTAGATTTAGATGTTTTACATTCAAGTGTCTTATTCTAACAGTACGATGCTAAAAATCACAATTAGACCTCAAGAAATCGCGGGCAAAAACAGCGACTTCATATGTTCAGAAGCTCAGAGAAGTGTAGCAGACGCTCGACTTCCGGGACAAGCACCAGAACTTCCGGTGGCTTCATGCGCGCCCGGCTCGAAGAGCGGCTAAGCGCCATTAGGCCCCCTATAATAGAGATCAGTGGGCGCGGCCAACAAAACCGAAACTAGCCGCTATGTGAACATGACGTCAGGATCGTTCTCAATCAACGAGTACGCAGGCCGAGCGGCACCTACCTCTGTTGCGCTAGCCGTCTAAAGATAGGTGATAAGCTAATTTTGTTTTAATTCTGTATACCTGGTAGTTATCCAGCATATCTAGCAACAGTTGGTGCGTATACCCAAAAGCTAGCGAATGGAACACCCGTGAACTCGTTCGGTGCCGTACTCGGCGGCTTATAGCCGTGCGCACAGTCTTTCATACTCGTCGCTAGGCCTAAATTGTCATCAGGATGGAGCGGCGTTGCTCTACGCCGCGCTGCCAGTTACGTACAGTATTGGGGGCCCTCTCGCTTTCGCGCTGCGGGTCAGCCAGAGACACGAAGCTTTGAAGCTCTGCGGCTTGGGCCGCGGTGCACGAACACGTGTGCTGGGCTGTATACGTCTGTTTCATTTTTTTTATTCTCGGGTGCGTAAATGCCGAAGTCCAAAGTCCACTCGTCATACAGCGTTCACCTATACCTTCTCCAATTTCCGGTCCGTTGGAAACTTGTGAAAAAGCACCACCGGGTTGCGCAGCGGGTTGTTTCAGCAGCCCACAGCGCTACAAGTGTTACTCGGCATCTTTCAAAGAACAGCTGGGCAGTCTTGGGCACACCGAGTTGGTCGCTAAAACGAACCTTGGAGTCCTCACAAGCCAATAAATAAAAGGCTATACCAAAGCGACACGGGCTAAAGATAAAAGCAACGGCTAAACACGCCAATCACAAGCCGAAGTAGCGGTGGTAGCTGCTCAAAGAAGCGCACTCCGCGCAACGCCCGGGAAGAAATGAGAACGATACTGACGTCACGGACCAATGTTGCTTTAGCGATCGGCAACCCGCCGGCCGCCCACTAAGGAGCAGCGGCTTGTGGCGGGTCGCATTTTTATTATCGGCATTAGTTGAGTATGCGGCGTCCCCAGGACATAATATTCTGGCTGGAGTCGTATTGTGTGTCACTACAGCGATACGAGTAATTTATTTCATTTTGAGTTTTAGCCGGAATTGCCCTTTAATACGGACCCCATTAATATGAACACCCCACAATATGGATGAAATTTTTAGGGACCGTTAATACAGGGTTAGGGTGTCTAGCAACCGGGTAATGTCAGGGATATTTTATGCACCGGGAAAAATCATGGAATTGTCAGGGAATCTGGCCTAAATCGAGCCAAGTCAGGGAAAATTACAGATTGACATTTAAAAAGGGGAGGTCACGAACCTGCACACCAGGCGGCGCTAGCTTTCGCCCGATACCAAGGGTGGACTCACTACTATTCATCCATCCAAGGTGATGGTCTATGTTGTTGATCTGGCTGATCATGCTGTCCGTGCTTTAGTTTTGCGGGCACGTGACACGTCTTTTTTTCCTGGCTCATGCTTTCTTTACGCCCGTTTTTGTTGCTTTGTGCCGTGTTTACGGAACTGGAGCTTCTCGATGTCTGCGATCAGAGTGCTCGTTGAACCCGGGCAACCGAGCCGTTTGAACCCAAGCCTAGCGCTTTCGCAGCGCTAGAGGCCTAGCGTTTCGTTGGGGGAAATATCGACGTCCGACTGTGCGTCCGTGGTCGCTCCAAAAACTTCGTGAGTGAGGATGTCCACGACAAAGAAGTGCTCATATAATCCAGACTGGACGAACCCAAATGTTTCTGGACATATAAGTTGGATCCAACCCGTGAAAGGTGATCCTCACAGCACGCAATGTACAGTCTGCCGGAAGAGCTTTTCTCTGAGCAACATGGGGAAGACGGCGGTTTCGAGCCACGCTTCGAGCAAGAAGCACCTTGGTGCTATGAAGTTGCTTCCAAACTCAACCCAAGCATGTCTCCCGTCGTTCTTCACAAGACCAGCGAACGTTTCGGCCGCTACTACTAGCGGCGCCGCGTGTGCTTCCGTGAAACAAGCAGCTACCGCGCCACCTCCGAACGTTTCGGCCGCTACTACTAGCGGCGCCGCGTGTGCTTCCGTGAAACAAGCAGCTACCGCGCCACCTCCGAACGTTTCGGCCGCTACTACTAGCGACGCCGCGTGTGCTTCCGTGAAACAAGCAGCTACCGCACCACCTCCGAACGTGTCGGTGGGTGGTTTTCTTTTTAAGACGAATGTGACAAAGGCAGAGATCATTTGGTGCATGAACTCGATAATGATTCATGGATCATTTCGCTCTACAGCGGCATCTGCCGCGCTTTTCCCATTGATGTTCCCGGGGTGTGAAGTTGCTTCAAAAATGCAGCTAGGGAAAGACAAGGTGGGGTACACCATTTGCCACGGAATTGCTCCCTACTTTCCAAGGCAGCTGCTCTCAAGCCTCAGCAGTGTGCCGTATGCGGTTGTTGCGCTTGACGAGTGCTTGAACAAGGTCGCCCAAAAGCAACAGATGGACGTACTAGTCAGGTACTGGGATGGCTGTGTGAAAACTCGGTACCAAACTTCGTGTTTCCTGGGGCACTCATGTGCAGAAGACCTGGCTTCTGCTCTCCGCAGCGCTACTCAAGAAATGAGCCAAACAAAGATTTTGCAAGTTTCGAATGATGGGTTCAATGTCAATTTGAAGTTGCTTAGGTCTCTGAAAGAAGAACTAAGATCATCAGATGACAGTCACCAGATCCTAGATATTGGAAGTTGCGGGCTTCATGTTATAAATGGTGCTTACAAAGCAGGTCACACCGCAACTCGCTGGGACTTGGTAACTTTCCTTCGCAGCTGTTAAAACCTTTTCAAGTCTGTACCTGCTCGTCGTGCCGATTATACGCTCATGACAGGAAGCAAACCATTCCCAATGAAATTCTGCTCAGTGCGATGGCTGGAAAACAGTAAGGTGATTTCTAGGGCACTGGTGGTCCTTCCTAACTTAGCTAAGTTTGTGGAAGGCTCAACAAAAGCAAAGAAGCGGCCAACATGCTCCAGCTATGACATAGTTGAAAAAGCAGTGGGTGACGAGCTGCTGTCAGCAAAACTAGCCTTCGTATTGTCGATTGCTGGGGAAATGGAGCCATTTCTGGCGGAATTCCAACCAATAAGCCAATGACTCCTTTCCTGTCAACTGCACTGGATGGTATCCTGAGGTCCCTTTTGGCAAGGATTGTCAAGAAGGAAGTCCTTGACGCTGCTGACGCACCCTCCAAGTTATTAAAAGTTGACTTTGAAAGGACCGACAACTTTGTAGCTGCAGCTGCTTTTGATGCTGGGTTCGCTACCAAGATTGAGCTGCGCAAAAAACCCAAAGTAGCGCAGCTGACCATGCTTACCTTCAAGAGGGACTGTATGTCATTTGTGAAGGCATGTTCACAGAAGATCATTGAGAGGTCACCACTGAAGTATAAACTGACAAGAGGGGCAAGCTGCCTGGATCCTGTAATTGCATTGTCACCTGACGTCGGCCCGAAACGGCTAACCCTTGCCCTTGACGCGCTTTCGGAGAATGGGTGGGTGTCTGGTCTAGAGGCAGAGCGTGCCCATCGCTCCTACATCCATGTGTGCAAACTAGGCCCTGCGCAGGCAAGGCTAAGGGACTTTGACCACAAGGAGCAAAGGCTCGATACCCTGTGGATTGGGCTGTGTCAAGGTCACGAAGAGCTGCTGTCTCTAGTGAAAATTATCCTTTGCTTGTCGCACGGTAATGCTACAGTTGAGAGAGGCTTCAGCATCAACAAAGAATGCCTTGTGGAAAATCTGAAAGAGGAATCTCTGATAGCACAGAGAGTAGGATATGACGCTGTATCTGAAGCTGGCGGGGTTGCCAATGTAGACATTACAGACCGGATGGTGCAGATGGTTCGCGGTGCCTACAGCGTCTTTAAAGAGGAGCTGCAAAGACGGAAAAAGGAGGAGTGCGAAACTTCAGATGCTCAAAAGGAAAAGAAGAGAGTAGCAACCCTTATCATGGAGCTGCAAGAAAAGAAGCGAAAGTTGCTTCATGATTCCCAGCTTGAGGCTACCCTCGTCCAAGAAAAAATAGACTCCCTTAAGGAATAAACGTCTATTTGGCCTTATTTCAGTTCATGAAGCAACAATATATTGTTTTGATTTGTAAATTGTCTCTGTGTTATTGGTCAGGGAACATAGGTCGAAAGGGTCAGGGAAATCCTGGAAAAGGCAGGGAATTTTGAAAGAGAAAATTGCTAGACACCCTGTAATATAGAAACCTGCAGTCCGGACTATATACAAGCTTTTTTTTTTCCTTACCATAAATGTAAATCTTCACACTGAAAAAAAAAAAAAAAAAATTCAATTAGTGAACCATAGAGGCCAGAGCGTGTACCGGGAATTCACTATTGTCCCTTGTCTGTCTCGAGATAAGACCTGCACACCTAAAGTGTAGTAGGGTTTTTCGGGCTTTCAAGTCAAAAGGTAATTAGGTATGTGCAATTCAAAAGTAGCAGACACGCTTCACTTTCTGGGCATGAAAGTAAGATTCAGTTTAAGTATAAGTACAAGCCCGCATTTCCTCATTTCATGGCTAAATAACCCCCCATTTCCTGTTCGCTACGATTCTTATTTGTGATCTTGTTTTATTTCCTTGACCTTTTATTATGGACGATTTTTCCTGGGAATGCAGGCATCCATGTTAACAAGACATGACTGTATGAGCCTATAACATTTGCTTAAGTAAAAACTGGAAGCAACTGGAAGAGCATTTTTGTAATCCAGAAGCCCGAAGCAGAAATGCCAAAGTTGACCTATTTTTGTTCTCTCGGTTATGTTAATTGTGTGTATTTGACTGGCGGCATCCTTTTGGTTCTGTTGGTCCATTTCAGGTGTGCCTTTCATTTCTTTTGAATAGATATTTTGCACCAGTAACAAATGTTCTTATTTTAGTTGTAGCTAGCCAGGTACATTGGCTGTCATTGACTTGAATGCCTGTTACCCTTCCTATTGTCATGTGCATTGTAGCTACCCCAATATATTGGCTTCTTGTGTCTTGAATTCCTGTTTTAGTGACTATTCTCGTGTTGTAATCCTTTTGCAAGTAGTAAACAACTATTATTGGAAACACGTGGTTTGCCTATTGCCTTCTATTTTATAGAAACAAGCTACAATATTGAAGGAGGAGTCATGGGATGGACAATACAACTGAGAGAGAGAGAGAGGTCTTGCAAAAGAAGAAAAACCATCGTTGGAGTTACAGCCATGGGCTGAACGGTCATCGCTGGATTGGGGGGAGGGGAAGGGGATAACAGCTGATAGAAGAGAAAATTGTGAAAAGAGAGGAGGGTTGTTTCGCCAAAGCCGACAAGCGGGGCGCGAAGAGCCACAGGACGCGGCTGGCAGAAAAGCGGGCGGAGCCGAAGAAGAAAGGAGATCCTTTAGAAATGTCCAAGTGTCTTGTCCAGAAGTCCCTAGCACATCTTCACAGTATCCAGGGTAAACAAATCAGGGTCGGCACGCGGCGTCAGAATTTCCAAGCACTGTCACCAGTCACACCAGCGCCAAGCATTTCAGTATTCCGAGCCAAAGTGCAATGGGTCGGCAACTCGATATCTCTCTGCTGCATACACAACACAGCGTTGCGAAAGGATTGGGGAGAACATTAATAGATTCCGTTCCCTCAACAGAGGCGGTCGAGCCTATTGTATGCATAAGGGACATTCCGCAGAGTGCTACGGAATGACATTCTTTGCTTGTGTTTGGCTGAGCTAACCACACAACTTAGCGCATGGTTTACCAAATGCAAAGGAAGAAATTACTAGTGGGGCATTTTCTGAAAATGCCTAGCCCTTGGCATGCCTTGGGTTTACTAGCTTCCGAATCTATCATTCGAAAACTTTTCATGATTGAGCGAGGTTAATCCCCGCCCATTAAAAGGGAAATTCCGAATCTGTTATTCAAAACCCTGACTGAGCAAGGTTATTCCTTGCCCACTAGGAAGGAATATGATTTCTGGTATCCATCCGTGCACCGTGGAGAGCTGGCAATCATGCACGGGATCCGAAGGTTCTACGGCTATCGCGCCGCGCGAAGCCAGAGAAGCGCAAGCTAGGATGAACAGCGCGCGGGCGAAAGGGGCACGGCGCCAGAGCGGGCCAGCGCACGGGGAGACAGCTTTGCCAAAGCAAAAGTGGGTCAGGGGCCCCGCGCGGGGGGCAGACCCGACGAGAATAAAGAAAAGAAAAAGAAAACGCCAGAGAGGAGCTATTAGTCAGAACGGGCGCTAAGAGCCAACCCCGCAAGAAGGAAAATAAGAAAAGGAAGAAAAGATAAAAATAAAAGCTAAAAAGAGACGGAAAACGCGAGAGAGAAGCTGTCAATCAGGTCGGGCGCGGAGAGTGAACCTTACAAGAAGGCAAGCAAGAAAAAGAAAAGATAAACAATAAAGTCTAAAAAAGTTGAAGTGGGTAGGGCTCGCAAGGAGTGGGCCGACGCGCGCGATCTCAGCAGAAGGAAGTTAAGTAAACAACAGCAAAAGAGAGTCTGTGCCTACAGAGGAGAGAAAAAAAAAAAACCAGTCGGGAGTGGAGCGCGAGGGAAAACCGACGCGAATAAAGAAAAGAGAAAGAAAACGCGAGAGAGAAGCTGTCAATCAGATTGGGTGCAAGGAGGGGACATCACGTGACCGGAGAGAAGGACGCGATGCCCTGCAGGCAGTGCCTGCATAGCGATCGCGTCCCCCTCCATCACGTGACCAGAGGGGGGGGTCGGAGGAGAAACAGTGGCTCCCAGTTAAAAATACCCATTGGGTTCAATTGGTCTTTCCAATTGGTACCAGCTGGCGTAACCATCTGTGTTTTCGGACTCCCAACTGGAAAAATACCAATTGGTATTTGTCCAATTGGAAATAAACCCATTGGAATTTTACCAACTGGAACCATTACCAGTTGGTACTATTCCAGTTGGAACCGTAACCATCTGTGTTTTCGGACTCCCAACTGGAGAAATACCCATTGGCATTTTTTTCAATTGGAACGGTAACCAATTGGTTGTATTCCAATTGGAACCATAACCATCTGTTTTCTGACTCCCAGTTATAAAAATACCAATTAGTATTTTCCCTATTGGAAGTGTAACAAGTTGTGTTTTGGGACTTTCAAACTCGAAACTACAAAAAGGGCCCACTTGCTTGTTTTTTAGCTACCATTCATTGGCACAAATCTTGAAGCAAGAACAAGCAATTAGCTTAGCTTAACTGGACATTATATGCACAGGATGCACAACAGTGAAGAGTATATGTCAAATGAAAGCTTTATTTTGACTAGCAGGACACCTAAATATTACAGATTGAACGTTGAGACCGATGTTCAGCGGAACTTGGATGCAGTTGATGACAGGATAGCCATCTCATTCATGCTCAGCTCTGCCTCCTGCATGTCGAACATGTGTAGCAGTTAAGTTGCATATCTAAGAAGCATTGTGAAAGAATGTAGCAAAGTCTAGACCTACAACAAATGGGTAAACACTTGGCTCACATGAGGTCAAAGTTGTATGATGCTCGACATGTCATTAAAGGGGCAGTACAACAAACCTTGTACTTTTAGTAAATACAGCTTTTGATTATGCTTTGACATTCACAACCTATAAAACAGATAGATTTTCTATCCACGCATGGCAGTTTCAGAAGAAAAAAAAACTACCAGCGTTTACCTCCTAAACTCGCAGACAGAGCAAGTGACCACATGATCTGAAACTGATTACATGCCACCTATGTTTATCATATCCACACCCTGTAGTTGGCAAAGCACAGGGCACACAATGAATTCCACAGATTGCTACGGTTCGGC